CCCCAAAACCCCAAAACCCCAAAACCCCAAAACCCCAAAACCCCAAAACAATAATGGAAAATTGAGTTTCCATAAATTTATTTATATAAAAATGAAAAAGAAATCGACAAATTTGAGCACGATTGTTCTGGATACAGGGTCCTTACCAGACCCTGCGGATGGAAATGCTCAGCCTAAATCACCTAGAAGGAATGCCCCAATGCCGTTAATAAAGAGATTTCAGCATTCATTGGAGCCTGATATGATATTTGGATGGAAACCAAGGAATAGTAAATGAACATCTCAGCAAGCGAAGAAGGGTAAAAGTAGGAATTAGAATATTGATATTGCTATAATGATGATCCTTCAAATTTTAGGTTTAAATTTGTCTTAAATTATTTACAATAGTGTCAAAATTAAAGAAAAAGAAATTTAAAAAGGAGCTGAGTAAAATTCATTCTCAAAGCATCAGTCCTATAAAGATTGGCCAGAACTCTTCAAGGAATGATCAAATGGCTCCTAATCCAACTCAGGAAACCACATTTCAGAAACCTTCTGAGTTATCTGACTATGGAAGCAGGCCTTCCATATTTGTAAAACAACAAAGGAGAGAGCTCAACACTATATCACCTGCTAGAACTCGAAGGGAAGAGTCCTTCGAAGAAGTCCAGAAGTAAGTAACTATATTTAAACTTATTCTAGGATGAAATAAAATCCCTCCTACATTGCAAGGCCTCTTAGAGGCCTTGCATGTTAAACATGAGGGAGAAATCTATAAGTTCATAGAGAAACATAGCGAATATGAGTTTAAAGCTACTGATATTAAGTATAAAATCCCATACTTAGACGCAATCAGAAGTTATTCTGACAACTACAAGAATGCAGTCTATCTCATAGATTATAAAGATGTGAACAAAATTAAGCCAAGAGACCCTGTTTTCGATATCATCAGTAGGGAATGTCTGAGTCTATCAAAGAAAGGCAAGCTGATATATGCAGGAAAGGATCCATATAACTTAAAAATGATACAATCAATTCCAGAAGTAAAGAAGGTAAAATGATCAAATATGAAATTAAATCTAAAGTCCAACGATCAAGAAACTGTTGAGCATAAGTTAGAGTTTGATGCAAATTTCGAATGTGGGAATCTCCATTCAGCCATTAAAATGACTGACACTGAATATCATCTGTTCATTTATCCAGATACCAATACTAGCGGCCATACCCAATGGTTCTACTTCAAAGTATCAGGGATGAAGAAGAATACTGAATATACCTTCAAAATAATGAATTTAAGTAAATAAACATTCAGCATTCCAAAAAGGAATGAATCCTTGTGTGTTCTCAACTAAAACATGGAATGTACACGGGGTTGGCTGGGACATCACTGAGACCTATAATGTTAATTACTGAAGCAATCCATTCAATAGTGTCATTCAGTCTACAATCAAGAAATAAATATGACGCGAAGTTCCAAAACGAGGATAGTAGAGAGAAGTCTAAAAAGAAGCACAAAAGCATGTTAAATCCTTACTCTAAAAAATTATATGCCTTAAGGTTCAGTTATAAGCCTAAATTTGGCGAGGACGAAGTATTTATTGCTTTCAGGTAAAGACTAATCTCTTCATTCCTTTACTCAAAACTGACTACTTTTAGCATACCGTATTCATACTCCCAGTGCCAATATTTCCTAAAAGAAGTGGTGGAGAAAATGCCTGAAATAAAATCAAAGAAGATTAATTACTCAAGAAAGGAGCTTTGTAAGACTCTGGGAGGGAGAAAAGTTGATATCATAAAAATAACAAATCCTAGTAAATAAAAGAACCAAAAAACAATCCATTGTCATTATGGCAAGGTGTCACCCAGGAGAGACGGTTGGCAGCTTTGTCATGGAGGGAGTCCTCAAAGGACTTTGAAGCAAAAACTTCTTCTCAGACTACCTCAGAGACAAATGTGTGTTCTACATAATTCCAATGTTCAACCCAGATGGAGTCTTCTGAGGGAATAATAGAACAAGTCTCGCTGGAGTAGATCTCAACAGACGTTGGACGAAGCCTGACAAAGTTATGGAAGCGGAAGTCTTCTATCTTAAATCAATGATCCTCGCTCTTGGGAAGGAAGAAGTCTCTATTTTTGTTGATTTACATGGTCATTCGAAGAAAAATAATTCTTTCATCTATGGGAATACATACAAAAGAGTTCAAGAAAAAGGGAACTTTTGGCAAGTTAGATTCCTTGCAAAGATTTTGAACAAAATAGCTCCAATGTTTGCATACGATAGTTGAGCGTTTAGTAACCAAAAGTCTAAAAATTCTACAGCCCGTGCAGTTATCGGGAAGGACATTGGAATCCTTAACTGATTCACTCTAGAGTCTTCATTCCATGCCTTTAGGTATTTTAACATGTGCAATAAATGCTTTGTTTTATGAAAGTATTCAATAAGTGATTACCATGCAATGGGTGATTACCTCTGTAAAGGGATTTATGGCACTCTCAGGGCATTCTTGGATACTGAAGATTGAATTGAATACAATCCAAATATTGCCAAGACCAACACTGAAGTTGCTGATAACCCATCTGCAGTAAACTCTCTCGCCAAGAAAGCTCATCAAGAAATCCTTGATTGTACAGAAGCTAAAGTGAAAATGAAGCAGAAATAAAAAGGTAAATTGCCTTCATTATCAGTAGAAATCTACAAAAGCAACTATCAAGGTAAACAACCAAAGACCAAGAAGAGTTAAAGCCATTAAAACAGAAGCAGAAGCAAATGCTAAAGCCTCAAGCTCAATGAGTCGTAGAAGCAAGCAGGATGTAAATCCATGAAGCTCACTTATAGTCAACAAAAGAAAGGGTTGTGATACATCTAGATCCTCAGCAGCAGAAGGGTAAGATGATATCTTATCTTTTAGAGGAGCAACTATTCTCAAAATATGACTTTAGCAGCTCCCTTCTTGGTCAATATACCGAACAACTTGAGCAAAAAGTTAATAAATTTGTGGAGGAATCTAAGGTATTTTGACAATAACCAAAATAGAACAACGAGAAGCTTTCCAGAGCTTATCAAGTAGTTGACGAAGATGAAGAAGAATACACTGACATTGATGAACAATCTGATGAAGAAGACTCTAATAGTGAGCCTTCAGAAGACAACCTTTCTGAAGATGAACTCCAAGAATGATACCAAAAGATTAAAAAGAGCAGAGAGAATTACTATAAAAATGCCAAACTCCGGATTTTCAGCTTTAGTAAACAGAACGTAAGGTCTGTTGTAATTATCTGTAGTACTCCCTTCCAAAAATTAAGGAGAATTTCACAATAGATATCCCACCATCCTCTTCTGCATACACAATGAGTGAGAAAGGAAGAATTTTCAGGGAGCCTAAATAAGATGGAATTGTACAAATTCAGCTTGAATCCTAATGGGAAAGCAATAAATAGCTTTGACCACCCAACTTCACCAGTACGTATCCTTTATGACCTATTAGAAAACATCTGAGACGATTTCAGGGCCTCCAATGACCACTAAGCATTCACAATTCAAGGTAAAAATGGGTAAATACTCAACTTTGAAGAACCCAATGTATAAATAAGACAAATAAGGATATCCGAAAAGAGAAATTTACAATGTACCATGCTAGGATCGCCAGCAAGCTGCCTGAGCTATCACCAAATGTAATTTCAAGTTTCGTGTCTCGAAGTAATGGCTCTGAGAGATCGATAAATAAAAGATTTTCAAAGCGGCATCCAATGACTCACCTTGACAGATTCGAGGCTAATAGGAGTGCCACCCAGACTTCTGAAGAAAGAATCTTCCCAAACTTCCAATATCGGTAAGGAGTTTAGTATAATTCTATAGCAATTCTCCACTAAGCTTTGGAGTAAAAAGAGTTTCTAATGTAATAAGCAACACCAAGAGGGATGAGATTCTAAAGAGATTTATAGGAAAACATTAAATCATTATTCTTCCTTAAATAAAGATTTAGATTCGAACAAAGGTTCATTTTGGCTTCAAAGTAAAGAATTTAGAATCCTAATTCTCTCTTTTATCTCCAAAAATAGTAGTCTTTCCAAAAAAATAGAGTCAAAATCTACCCTAACACCCTAAATATTCAAATAAAAACTTCCTAAATTTCAATTTTTGTAAAAATAGTTGGGGTTTTGGGGTTTTGGGGTTTTGGGGTTTTGGGGTTTTGGGGTTTTGGGG